GAACTAGAAATGTGCATATTTAGATGTAGGCACGACTAGCTTGCCCACCTGTACATAAGCAGATTGTAGTACTGGACGAACCAATTGTTTCTTCCTTTGGTGTGGTTTAGATGGTCGCGTCCAGATGTATGATATGTTGGCGTGTACGATTGGAATAGATTGCGTGATTTGAGCTTTGTGTATGATTGAGTATATTCCGAGGTACCCGTGTGTTCGAGACATGGGCTACTCAGCAGGGTAGGACGTGAGGGCTGGGTACCTATGTTGTTTTTGAGAGAGACATTTTATCCTGGTGTACATATTGAGTGGAGACCCTACGAGGTTTGGTTTTTGTGACGATCACTATCACTCTCACTTGTGGGGTTTTATCCTGATGAATGTTGGCTTTGTGTGAAAGATGTGTGACTATGTGACATGTAAAGTTGCCTACTCCTTTGTATACTCGTGCGACCTGCCTATGGGCAGCTGATGGGGCAGATTATAAGGGGAGGGAGCGCAGTGTGTTTGTGAAAAGTTGTGAGGATTTTAGAGGATTTACGAGCCCATGAGGCTCAAAACGCTTGCCATGCTGATTGTTGGTTGGTTGAATGTGATGAGGACCCATAAGATGGTCTCTCAGTGATGTTTGTTCCATAATGAGACCCCCATAGATTTTTGAAAAAAGGGGGGATGTTTGGTTTTGTGATGAGACCCCTCGTGATTTTTGGAAGAGGGGGTGTTTTGTTCTGTAATGAGACCCCTTGGTTTCTGGAAAAGCGGATAGTATTAAAAAGGTCGTGTGAAAGCTTGTCCTAGAGAGAAAAGGGATGACTGTGAGACCTATTGTGAGAGGCACCTTTGCAGAATCAGAGGTGGCTAAAAAGATTTTTAGCATGGTAAGCTGACTGATGAGTGATAAAGTCTGGTGAAAAGGACCATGTTTGCCTAGAAGATTTGGGAAGAATTTTATCCTCGGCCAGAATCGGCGAATTCTACCTTGTTGGTTCTCAGATGCCGGTGGGGCCGTCTTCTGCGGCCGGGAAACCCGCCAGAATCAGAAACCCCTCATGTCTTGGCCCTTGGTTATGAATCACAAGTGGTTTTGTGCGCGGCGGAGGGTAAGGGACAAACCGCCAGAATCAGCAATCTTGTTTGCCTAGTCACAAAAAGGGTTAGTAAAGGTGCCCTGCGGTAGGGAGACCCGCCGGCGTTAGGGACCCTTCACTAACCTTATTGGAGGCTGCAAACGGTCTAGTCTGCGGCAGTGACCTCCATGACTGAATAAGTTTTATGGATTAAGACCCCTTCAGATTTTTGGAAAAAGGGGCTGATATGGTTTTGTTAGAAGACTCATCTTCAAAATGTAGGTGTTTTAAAAGAGGTCCTGGGGAGGTTCATCCTAAAAAGAGAAGGGATAACTAAAGACCCAGTGATATGTTGGTGGTGTACCGGTGGGTAAGTACAGATGGGTGGAGGCTTTTGCCCCAAAATTCTCGATTAATTAGACTGGTCCCTCTTTCGTCAGCATTTTGGGTAATCTGATAGCCTTTCGATTTTGCGAAGCGACAGGGACGTTGCTTAATATGGTCCGGTAAGTTGTCAGTGCGAATACCCTTACAAGGGTATCCGCCCTGGTTTGTGCAAGCGACAGGAGATAGTTCTGGTTCGAAGTTTAAGTATACCGCGCTAGGCGCGGCTGTGTCTGTGATTACGTTGACTGGATGGTTGACTACAATAGGGAGTACGTGGGCGCGCAGGTTTGAGGCGCGCATGATTCCATTTCTATCGTTGATCATAGAGTCGGCGCGGACGCCGGCCGGTTCGTTTCTACTTTATCTTTATTTTTATTTTTATTTTTGTTTATTCTTGATTAGACTAGGATTTAGATACATTTGTCTTTGGTCGGTATGTTTGACTGAGTTACGCGTGCGCACGGGGGACGACCTCGACGCCGGCAACGACGGCGACAGTGTGACTGCGGTAGGTCTTGGCGCGCGGAGTGGCGCGAGTGGCGGCCGTGGTACAGCCTGGTAAGTCGGCGGAGACGCTGGGTGGCCGCGCGCACGGTTGTAGGTAGAGATGGGGCTCAAGCCAATTTCCTTGGCCCTGAGCGCAGCACCGCACCACCTTGTATGGCACTCCGCAGATGTTGGTCTCAGGCTTGGGCTTAGCCCTATAGGTTATGATACTGGGTTGACACGGTGGAGGCTCTGGGATCGAGGCCAGCGGGCGTCGATGTTGCGGCAGCAAACGGCGCAAGGCGAAACTGAGGAGTCGAGGGCCCGGTAGGGCTATCCCCCTCGGTTTTGGTAAAGGATGCGGTGGCGGGCCTGGCCCACGGGACGGGCATCGGGCCCGGTAGCCGCGACGGGGCCTCTACTTTCTTTTCCTTAATTTTTTCCGTACATTTTTTGTTTTACTCGCGCCCCGTTCTGAGACGAGATATCGGGCCTAATGTATGGTCACGTAGAGTGTGCTGTATTCGCGGGGCTGCCTGAAGTGTATTTACAAACTGTTTTTGCGGCTGCGCCGAAGCCGCGCCCCGTTTTAACTTGAGATGCGGGGTCGGGCTTACTTCTAGGGTCTATGGGCCTAGCTCAGCGACGCACCATGAACCATTGAAATTCAGGCCTGAGCTCGGGCCCGGCTGGCTTTGCTTGGGCCCGATCAGGCGCTGGCAGCACTGTGGGGTGCCTGCCACTGGGAGGGGTCCTTCGGGACATCCGTTAAAATTGGAACGATACAAGGAAATTTGCATGCCCCCTGCGCACGGAAGACGTGCATAAATCGAGGGGCGGAGCCGCGGCAAAGTGTTGTCGGAGTGCCGAGTGTCGCCACACTGCGCTGAGTGACAGGCCGGATCGGCGACTGCGGGGGTAAGGGAAGTGAGCGGAGGAGGCGGGCAGCAGCGGGCGCAGCAAGCGAGCAAGCGTTAAGGTGCCAAGACAGGAAAGCAGAAGCTGAGAGGGAGGATGAATCGGGTCGGGATTCTGCGCAAGATACGTGCAGTGGAAAAACGGGTGAGGAGTAGCCGGGGGTGCGAGATACGGGTGCAGTGAAAGGGAGTGTACCCGGACGCAGTTTTGCACGAGGTGCATGCGCGACGAGCGGCGTCGCAACGCGGATCCGGGACTCCTTGAGGACGGCAGCGACTAGAGGATTCGCGTGAGGGAGGTGCGGACGTGCAACGTGACGGCAGGCAGCTGTGGGCAGAGTGCAGGCAGGCCTTGAAGCAAGGTGGAACGAAGACAATCACGAGAGGGGTGCAACGGCTCCACGTGGACGAAGGTGACAAGGCGGCTTTCGATGAGCCCCTGGGTTGTGACGACGTTGACGGCGACGACGATTGCAACTAGGACGATTTGCCAGACATCAGGCCGCTTGGGAGGAAGGTGACGAACGGCGGTGCGAGTGCGAAGAGGGGTCCCGCTCCGAAAATTCAAAGTAATAAGAAAATGGATGACGACACCGGCCGGAGCGATGGCGAGGGCGGTCGGAACTTCTGGTCGGTGGGTGACACGATCGCACTCGTCAGGGCAAAAAGGAATCAAGATTTGTACATCGTTGGCATGGGCACCAGTTTCGCCCGCATGAAAACGAGGGAGTGGAAGTGGGAAGACGTGCGGGCGAGGTTGCAGACGATGGGCATCACGAGGGAGGGCGTCGACTGTGGGAAGAAATGGGACAACTTGATGCAGCAATTCAAGAAGGTCCACAAGTTCCAGAACCTCTCCGGCGGGAAGGACTACATCAAGCTTGCTTCAAAGGCCAGGCGATCAGAGGCTATGTTGCATGCTGGCCGCGGCCGGGTTCGGCCCAAGCCGCGGCCGGCGGCCTAGGTTGGGACCCCCCCGGCCGCGGCCGGTCCGGCCGAGTTCTTTCGGCCGCTGCCGTGGCCGATCGGGGAGGGGGGTTTGGGAGAGGGAAGCAGGTTTCGAGTCGGGGGGGGCTCCCCTACCCCCTCGCAAAAAAAAAAAACATAAGAACTTCAAAAACGGGGGGGCGGAATCTGGGGAGTTTTT